AGGCCAGGAGCCCCTAGTAGCGTCCTTGCTCTTATTAGCGATGCCAGGAGCCCCTAGTAGCTTCTTGTTACTGATAGTAAGGCCAGGAGCGCCTAGTAGCGTCCTTGCTCTTAGTAGCGATGCCAGAAGCCCCTAGTAGTTTCTTGTTACTAGTAGTAAGGCCAGGAGCCCCCAGTAGCGTCCTTGCTCCTAGTATGCCAGCAGCCCCTAGTAGCTTCTCGTTACTAGTAGTAAGGCCAGGAGCCAGCGATGCCAAGAGCCCCTAGTAGCTTCTTGTTACTAGTAGTAGTAAGGCCAGGAGCCTCCAGTAGCGTCCTTGCTCCTAGTAGCGATGCCAGGAGCCCCTAGTAGCTTCTTGTTACTAGTAGTAAGGCAGCCCCTAGTAGCGTCCTTGCTCCTAGTAGCGATGCCAGAAGCCGCTAGTAGCTTCTTGTTCTACCGTAGATGTACGAACTTTTCAACCCCTTCAAATCCCTTCCACGCCAAAACTCAAAGTTAGTGAGCCTGCCAGTCAATGGACGAAACAAATCAAACCCTGGCAACATAAATTCAATGAAGTCGTATTCAAGATTCAACATTGACCTTTGGGTGCCGGGGGTTGGTGACAGTCATTGACTGAGGGGTTTGAATATTTGGTCCGTCTACTGTCTCAAGGTGTGACGTTTGCATACTTTGGGCTTTCAACTCTAACATCTTCATCCGTAGTACTCTTTGTTTTCATCTTCTGTACAAAAGCGATACTGAAGATTGTAAATAGCATGTGGAAAATGAAAACTTTCATTTTTGGAAGAAGTCTCACACGCAACCATTTTTTTAGTTGCACCACTCGCTTCCCATGTCTTTTTCCAATGCCTTTTTCACTTTCGCATGACCCTACCAAAAAAATCAAGTTTGGTGAAGTTTCGTTCAGCAACAAGGACAATGGTTTTTCCCCACATCACTGTGTGTGGTTCTTGTTGTTCGCTCTGCGCCCGCCGCTCCATCCGTCCCGCCCCGCCCCCGCCCGCCTCTCCTCTTACACAACTTATCTTACACCACTCATCACATACCAGTCATCTCACACAACTAATCTTACACAACTCATCACATCCAACTCATCCCACATAATTCATCACATCCACTCATCTTACACAACTCATCACATCCAACTCATCTCACACAACTCATCACATCCAACTCATCTTACACAATTCATCACATCCACTCATCTCACACCACTCTTCACATCCACTCATCTTACACCCATCATCTTACACCACTCATCTTACACAACTCATCACTCAACTCATCTTACACCACCATCACATCCCACTCATCTTACACAACTCATCTGACACCACTCACCTCACACAACTCATCACATCCACTCATCTTCCACAACTCATCACATCCAACTCATCCTACGTCACTCATCACATCCCACGCATCTTACACAACGCATCACATCCACTCATCTTAACCCCCCTCATCTTGCACAACTCATCACATCCACTCATCTGACAGGCGCAGCGCTTAGTGAACTTCGAAGTGCAGATTTCGTGGCAGGCGCCGCTTGGTGACTGCACAGAGCCTTACGGACCAGCTGCGGCGCGTGTGGGCGCCGATGGGCCGCGCGTGGCTTTCGTGTGGCAGGCGCAGTACACAGAGCCTCCCGGACCAGCTGCGGCGCGCGTGCTTTTGTGTGGCAGGCGCAGTACTGAGTGAACCTGGAAGTGCAGATTTCGTGGGAGGCGCAGTACACAGAGCCTCCCGGACCAGCTGCGGCACGCGTGGGCACCGTTTGGCCGCGGGTGGCTTTCGTGTGACAGGCGCAGTGCTTAGTGAACCTCGAAGTGCAGATTTTGTGGCAGGCGCAGTACACAGAGCCTTCAGGAGAAGCTGCGGGACGCCGTCCGCCCTGCTTTATCCGCCCCGCCTCCGCCCCGTCCTCTGACGCAACTCATCGCATCCAGCTCGCAATTCATCGTACGCAACTCATCACCTGCTACTCATCATAATACCCTCATCACATCCAACTCATCTTACACAACTCATCTAACACAACTCATCACACCCCACTCATCTCACACATCTAACACCACTCATCCCACATCACTCATCACATCCCACTTATCTTACACCACTCATCTCACGCAACTCATCCTATACAACTATATACAACTCATCACATACCACGCCACTCATCACAAACCACTCATCTTATACCACTCACCACACACCAGTCATCACACACCACTCATCTTACACCACTCATCACGCACCACTCATCTCGCACCACTCATCACACACCACTCATCACACACCACTCCTCTTACACCACTCATGACACACCAATCATCTTACACCGCTCATCACATACCACTCATCGCCCGCCACTCCTCACACACCACTCCTCACACACCACTTATTTTACACCACTCATCACACACCACTCATCTTATACCGCTCATCACACACCACCCACCACACACCAATTATCTCGTACCACTCATCTCACACCACTCATCACACACCACTCATCTCACACCACTCTTCTCACACCACTCATCACACACCACTCATCTCACACCACTCGTCACACACCACTCATCAAACACCACTCACCACACACCACTCATCTCGTTCACCTTTATCGTCCAGTAGCTTTCCGTCCTCTTTTCTTATCAGTTTCTACTTCTCGTTGATAGTTCTTACAAAATGTGGAGTTATCGGGTCATTTTATTTGCAACAAGTGAGTCACATAGCAAAATCACTGGCAGGCGCATGCAAACCTCGAAAAGGCACTGGAAAGGCAGGCACTGGAAAGGGCATTGGAAGGGGCACTGGGGAAGTACATGTCAACAAAGCAGAACTGTAGCCGACGTCCACACCCAGTACCGTCTCAAAGTGTGACGTTTGCATACTTTTGGGTTTCAAGTTTAACATCTTCATCTGTAGTACTCTATATTTTTTACCTTCTGTGGTACAAAAGGAATACTGAAGACTGTAAATAGCATGTGGAAAATGAAAACTTTCATCACTTTTCCAAGAAGTCTCACACGCAACCATCGTTTTAGTTTCACGACGCTCTTTCCATGTGTTTTCCCAGTGCCTTTCTAGTGCCTTTTTCATTTTCGCATGGCCCCACCAACAAACTTTTTGGGGGGGAAGTATCGTTGACAAGGTTTCTCTGTCTTTTTCCCGAATGCGTAGCGAAGGGTTCCCGTTTATAGTTGGGGTCTGGGGGTTGGAGCTGTGTTTGCATGGCTTGCGTCGTCTGTCGTCGTTTGTCGTCGTCGTTCCGTCTCAAATTCGCTGTCATTGGGGGAAGCTTTTGCAAGTGACTTTGCGTGGATGTGTCACGTGTCAGTTTGCGCCGCTATTCCATTGTGATTTGCAAGAAACGTGATGCATTTCGCTGCACAGGCGCAGCGTTTTGTGAGATCCGCAGATTGCTGCGCAGTTCCATTGGGATTAGCGTTTGGAGAGTCGTGTTTTTGGGGTGTTGGATGTGGCCGTGCCATTGGGATTTGCGTTTCAGGGTGTGGCGCTGAAGCTCGGTTTTCGTGACAACTCTCAGCTGAAATGGCGATTTTTGTGTGGCAGGCGCAGGGACATTTCGTGGCAGGCGCAGTACTTTGTGCGCGTTAGACGTGTGGACGCGGAAAGATTCGTGGCAGGCGCAGGGAATCGTGAGGTTGTGAGTTGTGGTAGAGGTGAATGTCGCTGTCACATTGGGATTGGCATGTGAGCGGATGTTGTTTGGAGGGGCTGGAAGCGCGAAACTGCTCGGCAGGGCTGCGTGATGTGTGTGCTCCGATGGGTGTTTCCGCTTGACTTTTGGAGGAAGTCTCGTACGAAACGCTCGTTTTGGAGACTTGACGCGCAACTCTCTGCGGAGATCGTGCGTGTCGAGTGTGCGAAATGCAGGCGAGAGTGCGATTTGTCCCATGCGCGCGCAACCTTCTGCGGAGATCGCGCGTGTCGAGTGCGCGAAATGCAGGCGAGAGTGCGATTTGTCCCATGCGCGCGCAACCCTCTGCGGAGATCGTGCGTGTCGAGTGCGCGAAATGCAGGCGAGAGTGCGATTTGTCCGGTGCCCGCACCACCCTCGGAGATCGCGCGTGTCGAGTGCGCGAAACGCAGGCGAGAGTGCGATTTGTCCGGTGCCCGCGCAACCCTCTGCGGAGATCGTGCGCATCGAGCGCGCGAAATGCAACTTTGTAGTACAACTTTAGTACGCGGAGCATCTGCGGAGCTGGAAGATGAGAACTGGTGACTTGGTAGTACAACTTTAGTACGCGGAGCAATCTGTGGAGCTGGAAGTTGAGAAATGGCGACTTTGTAGTACAACTTTAGTACGCGGAGGGGTCTGTGGAGCTGGAAGCTGAGAACTGGCGACCTTGCAGTACAACTTTAGTACGCGGAGTATCTGGGGAGCTGGAAGAGTGTCCCACAAGAGTGTCCCGCAACAGTGTCCCACTAGAGTGTCTCACAAGAGTGTCCCTTAAAAGTGTCCTACGGGAGTATCCCACAAGAGTGTCCTACAAGAGTGTCCCACAAGAGTGTCCCACAAGAGTGTCCCACAAGAGTGTCCTACAAGACTGTCCCACAAGAGTGTCCCACAAGAGTTTCCTACAAGAGTGACCCACAAGAGTGTCCTACAAGAGTGTCCCAGAAGAGTGTCCCACAAGAGTGTCCTACAAGAGTGTCCCACCAGAGTGTCCTACAAGAGTCCCCCACAAGAGTGTCCCACAAGAGTGTCCTATAAGAGTGTCCCACAAGAGTTTCCTACCAGAGTGTCCCACAAGAGTGTCCTACAAGAGCGCCCCGTAAGAGAGACATCTGTCCTACAAGAGTGTCATTTGGACATATGTAGTTTTTCGAAGGTGTTTGCATTCGGGTTCGTGGGTT